AGGTGAAAATAATTTTAATATATTTACTTCACTCAATATATCAAGATTATCATTTCAACATACAACCAATATTTAAAAAGGAAATATTTTGCATTTTTTTCCTGTCTTACAAATTGTATTTTATGTATTTTTATGAAATGAGTGTATCTCATTTAAAGAACTACAATTAAGGCCCTCCGTGCTCGCTGCCCTGCAGCCATGTTGGATTGCCTTTCCTTCCTCCAAATCTCCACTCCATCCACACACAGTTTCCTTTTGCTGTTTCTAGCCCTGGGAAGCTCATCTGCCTCTTTTCCCTCTGGATCTAGTTAAGCCTACTCATCCTTCAGATGTCAGCTCAAATGCCCAGCCTTCAGGGTGCCCTTCCAACCCTTTCCATGCTTCCATGCTATTGTGTCTCTGGCCCTCGCCAGCCCCCCACGATTGTAACTTCACATTTACTTGAGGCCACTTGATCGGGATCTCTCTCCTCTAGTTTGCCAGCTCTAGGACAGAGACCACTCTGGGTTTTTGCGGTGGCGGCTTGAATCCTGTCCCCAGGGCTTAGCCTGGTGCAGAGCAGGGTCTCAGGGAGCAAGGCAGATCCTGTGAGACGGGGAAAGGCCTGGCCCCTGGAAAGCACTCTAATGCTTACTCTCCTCTCACTTCCCTCTGGTGGAGAAAATGCCTTATAAAGGGACTCTGCTAGAGAACTGGGGACACGAAGTACAGTGCCCAAAATATTTAAGTAGAAACTTGAGTTAAGCAAACAGATTATAAATATTTCTTCCCCAGATTACAGACCACTTAAAAATAGCATCTCGGCTCCTTTTCATGATTTGGGCCGTGATGACAGAAAATGACTCTTCGAGTCTGAACATAATTACTGCCCTTTTCGTGACTTGGCTTTTCCCTTGAGGAGGAGGCGGAACTGGGGAGCAGGACGTGAAGAGGGGGCATCATTTTCCCTGTTTAACTGGCAGATCTGGCAGAGAGGCAGACGCCGAAGGGCTGCCTGCCATTTCTCAATGCTTTCTTTTTCTTTTAAGATTTGAGAGAGAGAAAGAGAGAGACAGCACGCTCGAGAGAGCACAACCGGTGGGGCGGGGGCAGAGGGAGAGGGAGAAGCAGACTCCCAGCTGAGCAGGGAGGCCCGATTCGGGACTCGATCCCAGGACCCTGGGGTCATGACCTGAGCCGAAGGCAGATGCTTAACCGACTGAGCCACCCAGGTGCCCCTACACTTTCTTGTTCTAATTCTTCACCAGGTGAATATAAACAAGGCTCCAATCCGCAGTTGCCAGCTGACCCAGGGGATGCCAAACCTGAGGACACCTGTGTAGGTGAGGACTCAGTCCCGAGGCCGTGTGGTAAAGCCAAACACACCGCTCAGGTTCTTCTACCTTCAGTCCATACCCCCCCTCCTTAGGACAGTGAGTGGGAAGAACTCATTTGACACCACTGTCCCCCCCGGCAAAAGACGGTACAATTATGCTGTTTCTCAGGGCCTACCTGTCACCTTGAAGTCCCAGGGAGTGGTGCAGTAGGAATCACACAGAATCACGGGCACGTCTACACAACAGCTTCTCAAGGATACAGAGCCCCAGGGCTCAACATTTCCTTGAAGCTTTTCAAACAAACAAGTTCAAACACCATGTACTGCTCAAGGGTGATACATTTAAGTATTAATTTTTTCAATCCTAGTCCGGCTTCTAACTGCAAGCTTTTTGGTGAGTATAATGGGGCATACATCCCAGAGCACCCCAAGAAAAGCCCATACACCAATAAAAACCACATGTCTACCTATTATGCAGTTCTTGAGATGCCCTGTGCTGTGAGAATGGATGATGTCAATTGAAAGGCTTTAAATCCAGTATTTTCTTTTACAAATGAATTTGCAGGTGATCTAGAGCTGGTGCTTAAAGTCAGAATTCAGAGTCCCAGAGAAAATGACTTCATTGAAGTTGAACTGAACAGAGGAGAGCTGAGTTATCAGAATCTACTAAAAGTCAGTTGCTGTGAACTGGGGATTGAACCAGAGCGAGTGAAGACGATCAGAAAACTACCAAACACACTGCTCAGAAAGGTAGGGTTTGCAAAGTGTCTAAATGCAGACGGGGTTCTAAGTGGGCAAAATTGATGTTCTGTGAAGCTGATCACTTAGCTTTTGCGTTTCTAATGTGAAAACAAATTTAAGACACTGGGAAATTCCGGCTGCAGGACAGCATGGTAGCTAGGTAATTTTCAATCTGGTTCTTTTACCGATTTGCACACCTAAATTCATAAACCCTTTAAAATGGTCTGAATTACATTAATGCCCAAATGGAAGACTCAGTTCAATGCATATGGCCCCTTCCACCTCTGCAAACCTGGGTTAACAATAGGCAGCATGGTCCCCGGGAAGGAAAAGACTAACCCTTTGTTAGCTTACAACAGTTCAGCCTTTATAATTTCATGAAACAAAATTGTTTTGCATTTTTATAGATTTTCCAGATTCAAAATACAGTTCTCTAATTTCAGAAGAAAAATCTCATTTCTTTGGGCATATTATTATTTTTTAAAAGCTTTCAAAATACTTTAACAATTCTCATTGGTGCCATGGCTAATAATAGTATATTCTTTGTAAAGGACTGGCAGGATGATCGTATTTTCTAGATTATTTTTTTTTAAGATTTTATTTATTTATTTGAGAGAGAGAGACATAGCGAGAGAGCGAACACAAGCAGGGGGAGTAGGAGAGGGAGAAGCAGGCTTCCCCGCGGAGCAGGGAGCCCGATGTGGGGCTCGATCCCAGAACCTTGGGATCACGACCCGAGCCGAAGGCAGACGCTTAACGACTGAGCCACCCAGACGCCCCGAACTTTCTAGATTTTTTTAATGCCCTTTTCTGGATTTGAAATAATGTATATACAATTACTGGTACATGATAATTTCTTAATAAATAAGCGCTATAATTATTACTTGAAAAAAAGCCCTTTCTTCAGCAGTATCAGTTTGGGACTATAGTTGTCCCCTTAGGGACCTACAAGAGACCAAAAAAAGAAAAAAACTTCTCAACTGCTACCTTAGTTTACCAGGACAGAGAAACCAATAGAGAAATATCCTGAGTTTAGGCAAGAACCCAAGATGCTGGCCATTAAGACTTTTTAATCTTAATAATTTCACTTGCTATCTATAAACCACCCTGTAATTTCTTTTACATATTAAGGACAAAGACATTCTAAGACTATGGGACTTTCAGGAAATAGAACTCATCCTAATGAAAAACAGAAGCTCTGAATTGGTAGAATACACACCATCCCTGACAGAGAAGCCCTGCTACAACAGCAATGCTGCAAAACTGACCTATTAGAAAATCCCAGAAATGAAATACCGGAATCATTGTTTTGTAAATAACCAAGTCGGAATGCATGTCCCGGTTTGCTAACTTCATGTGTGTACTTCGGAAAATTGTTCCCTCATCTCAAACTTCTCTGGGCAGGGAGAAATTTCAAAGTGCTTTGACAAAGAGCTATTTTTAAAAATTGTACAGGGGCACCTGGGTGGCCTGGTCAGTGAAGTGTCTGCCTTCGGCTCAGGCATGATCTCAGGGTCCTGGGATCGAGCCCCGCATCGGGCTCCCTGCTCGGCGGAGAGCCTGCTTCTCCCTCTCCCTCTGCCCCTTCCCACTACTCGTGCTCTCTCGCTTGCTCTCTCGAGTAAATAAAATCTTTTTTAAAAAATTGTACAGGATACTTACCATGGCAAGTTTATTTTGTAGCACTGTACCTCAATCCTGATTAGGCATAGGTACGTATTGAGGTTCAGTCAGGATGAACAGCTGAGGTCTGTTCATGTAACCTCCAAAAAGGGCAGGGTAAGCTGAGCGAACTGGGAAAGCGAGGGCCCCCTTGGCACACTGGTTCAACCAGTGCTCCATTTGATTTTTAAGATTTTAAGTAATCTCTACACCCAGTGTGGGACTCAAACTCACAACCCCGAAATCAAGAGTCACACGATCCACTGCCCCAGCCAGCCAGGTGCCCCAACCCCAGTGCTCCATTTTAATGTAAAAGTATGTCACACCATAAGAGCACCTGGGTGGTGCAGTCGGTTAAGCATCCAACTCTTGGTTTCAGCTCAGGTCATGACGTTAGGGTCCTGGGATTGAGCCCTGCATCAGGCTCCCTGCTTAGCGTGGAGTCTGCTTAACATTCTCTTCTCCCAGGGCGCCTGAGTGGCTCAGCTGGTTAAGCGACTGCCTTCGGCTCGGGTCATGATCCTGGAGTCCTGGGATCGAGTCCCACATCGGGCTCCCTGCTCGGCGGGGAGTCTGCTTCTCCCTCTGACCCTCTTCCCTCTCGTGCTCTCATTCTCTCTCTCTCAAATAAATAAATTAAAAAAAAAAAAAAAGATTCTCTTCTCCCAGGGCACCTGGGTGGCTCAGTCGTTAAGCGCCTGCCTTCAGCTCAGGTCATGATCCCAGGGTCCTGGGATCGAGCCCCCTGCTTCTCTTCTCCCTCTCTTGCTCCCCCTGCTTGCTTTCCCTCTCTCGCTGTCTCTGTCAAATAAATAAAATCTTTAAAAAAATAATAAAATCTTCAAAAAAATAAAAGCACGTCACACCATCATTTCCTATTTACACTTTTAAACTTGCCTATAAACTGGCATGCCTTAATATGACTTGAGTTACCTTTTTTTTTTTTTTTTTGACAGAGAGATACAGCAAGAGAGGGAACACAAGCAGGGGGAGTGGGAGAGGGAGAAGCAGACCTGCCTTTGAGGCCATTTTTAACACTACTTGTAAAACAGCAAAGGCACAGCCCACAGCACTCAACTCTGCTAATCAGATGAAAAAAACAAAGTCAGGGGCACCTGGGTGGCTCAGTTGGTTAAGCGACTGCCTTCAGCTCAGGTCATGATCCTGGAGACCCACGATCGAGTCCCGCATCGGGCTCCCTGCTCAGCAGGGAGTCTGCTTCTCCCTCTGACCCTCCCCCCTCTCATGCTATCATTCTCTCAATAAATAAAAATCTTAAAAAAAAAAAAGTCGGCACCCTTCCCAACAACTAGCTTTGAGCTACACTACCTAGAATCCTTCTGGGTCAACTCACCCAAACTTAGTTAAGAACTACTCGTACTTTGGAAGCACTCGGTAGGTTGACCTCATTTACCCACCTAACCCCACACACTGTCACTTTTCTTCCCAGCCATTACTCCTGGACTCAAATTCATGGAACTGAGCTATAGAACACCAGAGCTCCTTCCGCCAGTGTCTTGTCTCCCCCAGCACATAATAGGCCACCATGACGCCTCTGAAAATTCTATCTCGGCTTTGATGAAGGGTGGGGGACAAACACTACACTAACACCTCGCCCAACTGTCCAAAGAGCAAGGTTTTAAATAGTGTGGGTACAGATGTATGCATCATTTCACTCATAAAAATGTGAAGGGTGCCTGGGTGGCTCAGTCGGTTGAGCATCCAACTCTTGGTTTTGGCTCAGGTCATCTCAGGGTCAAGATCAAGGCCTGCGTCTGCTAGTCCCTCTCCCTCCGCTCCCTGCCCCTCCCTCCGCTCCCTGCTCCCCACCCCCGCACTGGCCGCTGGCGAGCGCTCTCAAATATATAAAAATCTTTAAATTAAAAAAAAAAATGTGATGAGTACATGAGACTCGAACCTGCAATTTGCTTAGTAGCCATGGACCTCTCTGGGTGGGAGCAAGCACGTCTGCTCGAAATTGTAAGCTCAGCATCCACATCACAGGTCTTTTAAGAGCCAGCACAGCCCCTATCGCAAGCCAATTCCATGTAGCACCGTTCCAGTGCCACAGGACTGGGGAGATGACAGGGGATCAATCCCCAAGGGCCAGTTCCCTGAGGTATTCTCAATTTTGTTTTGAATAAGGAAAATTTGGGCAGGAGCTCAGGATTGGCTGTTAATGGCCCCAAATCACCCTTTGTGGGGAAGTGAGGTTTTAGGTGGTATTTTTTGGTGCATATGGTAGAATAAATTTGGAAAAAAATGTTGGGAGAAAAGCTTACACTATGATAACAGAACCTACAGTGTGGCCTCATGATTAATTACAGTAATTCAACAAGGGCAGCAATTTATCATGAGACTGTTGAGCAAATTCAATATCCATTCCAATATAGTTTGCACGAAAAAATTGTAAAAACTTATTTCCTATAACATGAATAGTCTTAAGGACGAAGATTAATAAAAACTGAAGCCTCAAGAGTAATTTTCATTGTAATTTATACTTCATGCAGAGATTGTAGAAACTAATTTCTGAGGAAGGTACAATTCCACTGACTTTTATGCCAACTTAATGTCATCTTAAGATTTTTAAGTGGTTGAAACGAATCAGGTACTAGAATGCTTATCCTGAAATGTTCCAGAACACATGTAGTAGGTTAAAACAAAAAAGATGGAATGATCTAGAGAATTCTTAGTCGTTCACAACCTAACGTTCATTTATGAGGTGACTGGTAACATAGCAGCGCCCCCTTCCATCCCTCAGAGCAGAAATTCTTCCTGTACAGCTCACAGGCCTGACAGACTCCACTAGAAGGTGCTGTTCCTACTTTGCTCACTGATCTATCCGAGGTTATCGCAACAGCACCTGGCACACCAGCACTGTGGATACAGGTGAATTTTATGCAACCGCAGGTATATTTCTACTTTCAGTCACTTCCCTTTTAAAGAGTGAAAATCTAACGCTTCATGGTGCCCCTCATAAAAGTATTACAGGCCAAAATGGAACAGTCCCTCTGATTTGACAATCTAGTTTGAACAGGGGAAGCATGCGCTGACCACCAGCCAGTATTGCTCTTCTCACCCAGCAGTTCCCTTTCTGGAAGGGCGTGAATTTGCAAGAAATGTACAGCAGAACAACAGCAGCAGCTCCCTGGCTGACACCCAAATCCCAAATGAAAAGTATGTAAAGATAAAAATAAGCGATCACAAAGAAAACATCCACTTAGGCCCTGCTTCTAAATAGCTACAATTAAGGCCCTAAATTTGGCGCTCAAGAAACCATACCTTTTATACCTGGCCTGTCATTACAAGAAGGTAAATTTCATTAAATAACAGTATACTTATATATCAGTCACTACCTACACCAAGACCTTTTCCCATTTTTTAAATTTAAATTTTATTAAGAAATACCATACATACAAAAGCACATAAACATACAGCTTAAAAAGGAAACCGCCCACCCAGCTTTAGCAACAAAGCATTGTCAGCAGTTCCTCCGAAGGCTGTTCCTTGCCCTCCACGGTCTCCTCTCCCTCCGTCCATCCCTCCGATGCAAGAGGTAACACTGAATTTCATGTTAATCATTTCCTTGCTTTTCTTTCATTTACCATAGATTTAACAGCTTGATTTTGACCTTCACAGAAATGGAACCATAGTGGATGTACTCCTCTGCAACTTGCTTTTCCAACCACCAAGATCCATCCGTGTTCACACGTGTAGCTGTAGCTCAGTCTAACTTCTGTGCAATTCCACTGTAGGAACAGGCCACGGAATCTATCCAGTGGACTGCTGAAGGACAGGCAGGGTCTTTCCAGTTTTTTGTTTTCCTTTTCTTCCTATTACAAACAACGCTGTTATGACATTTTCACATCCACGTCCTGACACACATGTGTAAGAGTTTCTCTAGGGTATGTATCTAGGAGTGCAATAGCCACATGAGAAGTTAGGGCACAGCCACTTATGCCAAACTACTTCCCAAAGCCGCTGTTCCTAAACATTCTTAAATCTGCTGACAACTGAGCTACTTGGGAGGGCTGAGAAGAAACAAATCAACTATGACTCTCAAACTGCATTTTCAAAGTAGGAAATTTAAAAATCTGATACAACAATGAAAAACACATTGACTTCTCTGCTTTGGTTTACTTGAAATGTATTTTTAAAAAACTGCATGTTAAAACTTAAAAGGGCAGTCTCCTAGATCTCAAATGTTTCTAAATATACGGAGTGAAAACAGCAAGATTCAAAACATATGGTGTACTTCATATATAAAAAAAGTCTATACATATATGCTTACATCCCCCACCACCCACCTCCCTCCAGAAAGAGTAACTGTTAACAGTAGCTCCTGGAGAGGAAGAACAGAGGGACAGGAAAAGGGAGAGAGAGATCACTTAACACTTCTGTTGTTTTTTGAACCATGTACAAGCATTACAATTATAACATAAAATTCTTTAAAAGTAGTCACCTGTGGTTCTTTCATAAACAACTAAAAATCAGTCTGAACTCACACGTGAAAATAGGCCCTGAACGAAGTCCCATCCCACAGAAAATATACACAACTCTCAAGTGTTTTCCTTTTGTTTCATGCACTTTAGAATAATGCTTAAAAATATTCACACAGCCCATCTAAAAGG